AAAAGTAACACATATAACTTGTTATAGTAAAAACAATACAATCATCTCCAAGACAATCTTAGAGAAACAAACAAACAAAACATTCTTTTTATTTACTTTCACCTTGAATTTCGAGAGCAACAAGTTGTACTGTGCGCCCTCCCCCCCTGAACTTTTTGAACCAATCACCATGCGATATTACGAAGAGATCTTTCAGCGCGAAACACCTGTTCGAAAAAGCAGGCTGAACATTGCGCATTGCAAATTTAACTACAGTGTAATAACTACAGTGTTCATTAAATCTCTAAATAAACAATGTAAAAGAAAAAAAAATGTTTAGAAAGTAGTATTTAATCGGTTGTTTGTATAATCATGCATATTATTGTCTCTTTGCAAATATGAATAGAAAATTGATAAATGGCATTTTTCATATTAATATACAATTTTCTGAAAATTTCCTTATAATCAAATGTATTCCTGTATCAGATGTTAATTACCTTACACGCTTCATAATTTAAACTACTTTTCATACCCCCTTCTTCTTTTTCATTTAGTCTTCTTTGTCAGTAATCACGAATACAATAAGAGAAGAAGGAACATTTGCAAAAGAGATCGCAGCCAGTGCTTAAATTGCGCCGGAGCCCACCGGATTCTGGCTCCAGTACTTCTTAATTTTTCAATAAATCATAATTCTAGCCGGAGCTCACCGGAGTCCTAAACCGGCTTCTTTTATGTAACTAAACAACAATTTCAGTAGAAATTTCATCTGAAAAATTTTATTTTTTTGCAATAAAATTGTATTACAAATCGCTTATTGAATTTTAATTTATTTCTTTACATTTTATTTAATTGTAATTTAATTATGTAATTACTTTAATAATTTAGTTATTTTAATAATAATTTATTTTATTTTATTAAATAATAATCATTAATTAAAATAATAGGCAAATATGAAATATTAATGTTAATTAAATAACAGTTAATTAATTTGTAATAATTAACTATTTAATTTTAAAATTATTAATGATTTTAAAAGTCATTTTATTTATTTATTTACTTTTCTTCCCCTTTGCTGACGGTCTTTCATAGGGCTCCGTCATTTCTAATTTTAGAAATTAAGCCCTGATCGCAGATACTGAATTTCACCGGCTGTATGAGCCTTTTTCTTGCATTTCTTCACGTTCTCCTCCAGTGGAGATTTCTCAGGTAAAACATATTCTCAGGCTTCTTAGGAAACATTATGAAATTCTGGAAAATATTGCCCCGGCTATAGAAACTCAAACTAATACAGAAGTATCACAGTAAAAGAGATCGCAACTTTAAATTTTGGTTTTAGAGAAAGAAGAGCAGATCATATCTCATACCATTTCCAATTATTTTCCATATTATATTTTGAATATGGAAATTCAAAATATATGTTATATATTATTAATTAATTTTATTAATGCGTATATTATCAATAATTATATTGGGCCATCCAGAAAGCTCAAACCGCAGCATGTTTTCTTCTAATGATTTTGTTGCTGTTGATAATTAGAGACCTTGATAAGAAGTATGTTTAAATGCGGATTTTTCGGCTTACGCTGCCTAATTTTGCCATGTATTACGGCACTTTTTTTTTTAGGGCTAAGAATGGAGAACCCTAAAAATTTATTTTCGTTATTTTATGCTCTCCTATTTCAAAAAGTTAAAATATGCTACTCTGACTGCTTGTAAAATGTGGTTTCCTATGGTATTATACACGGATAACGATATTTTGGACAAAGTGCTGCTTTGTATACAGTGATAGAATTCGAAGTTGGTTTGAGAAGGGAGAAATTTCAGCCTCAAAGATGACGCTAACTCTGAATGACCATCTCCTGTAAATAAGGAACTATTAAAAGAAGCTATCAATGAAAATTCTCGTTATGCAGTTTTGAAACTAACAGAGTAAATATTCCGAAAAGTACAGTACATCAGGGCTTAATTTCTAAAATTATAAGTGCCGAAATTCTACAGAAAACTGTCAGAAAAAAGGAACAAAAATAAATAAATAAAATAACTAATAAGATAGAAAGTACCAATTCAGAAGTCAAACAACAAAAGTCAACGTTATATTTTATTTTCAAAATTTTCACAGGACTAGTTTCGATGGTTTTACCGAACCACTATTCTCAGCTGCAAAGCCGCAAATTTATTTTATTCATGCGTTTTATTCATGGTTTTGCAGCTGAGAATGGTGGTTCGGTAAAACCATCGAAACTAGTCCTATGAAAATTTTGAAAATGTAACTTTGGTTTTTGTTGTTTGATTTCTGAATTAGTATTTGTTCGGTGTGTTATTGTGTCTTAAAGATAGAAAGTAATTAATAACTGAAATAATAACCTGTATAATAGTTAAAACAATTAATTAATTAAAATTAAATAAAATGTAAAGAGATTAAAAATTTAATAAACTATTAAATTAATGGTAAATAGTTAAATAATAAAATAAAACATTGGATTTCTTCTTATTTGGGGCTCCGGTTGTAATTATAATTTTTACTCAAAAGGTTACTAAGAAAAAGTTCAACCTTTTCTGGCTGAATTTAAGTCCTAAATGTACACTATAGTATATGTAAACAGCACCTCGATAACTCAAGAACCAAGAAATGTAATGACCTTTTCAAGAAAAGAAATTTTCCAAATGCTACAGAGTTGGCAAAAAAGTTATACACCAAAAATAGTGCTTATGTGATTCAGTGAAATTTTCTTATGCTTTTGCTCTGCTTCATTTGTATTTATTGCCAAAAAAATCTCAGAACTTTCTAGATAACCCAATATTTTATTTATTATTCAGTGTAATTTATCATTAACCTAATGTTTAATATGCATCATTTATATAGCATTCCTAACTAAATATTAAATTTTCTTATTTCTTTATTACTTCTAAATCACTGCTTTCAGCGCTTTCTGAATTCTACTCAAAATTATGAATTTTATTCAAGATTTAGAAGGTCCAAACTATGCATTCATTCACATCTTGCGGAGTCGATCAGATGATCTAAGAGGCAAAGTTATGTTTATATTTTGGAGATAAGATAAAATTTATTTTGACAAAAAGCGAAAGTTTACATTGACAGAAGCACAAAACTGACAGTTGTTGATTACAGTAGCTGACCACAGTAGCAGAGAAGAGTTCAACTAAATTGACTTTACGCATGCTATCCAAAGTAGCCAATGGATCTTATTAGCAAATTTCCAGATTATTTTATCCATCTGTAACCGAGAGCCGTTCTACAATAGCTTTGAAGCTAGATTTTATTATTAGAAAGTTTCGCTAGAGTACTATTTTTAAAAACATTTAAAGAAGAACTCATTGATGGATAACCATTATTTTTTATGAGCAACTTCTTGCACTGGTCAATTAAGACACTTACATCGATGTCGTATAGGTCTTTTTAACGCAACAACATTCTGTCACAAAAACTTCTCACTTCAAGACCTTCACAATCTCATCAACAGCGTGGATGCTAAGAGAAATTTTTTAGTACTACCTATAATATAGTGATTACAGATAGAAGACAATGACTCCAGGAAGACAATATTGAGCCTATAACAAAGCTTTAATTTTTTTTCATATTATAGTAGTAATTTATTCGATTACAATAGGTTCGAAAAAACTGTGATTTGGATTTATTTATTTTGCGAATTAATGCAAAATTTTCATTCATGAGTTTTAATTTTTGAGAAATTTCATTTTTTTTTCTATGAGAAATCTGCGTATCCTTGCTGATTATTTTTCGTTTCTCAACAAAATATTAATTCTAGCAAGGGTCTTCTAGCTAGGCGTTTTGCCGGCCCGTGCAATCTTTGCGATCCTAAACTTTGCATCTGATATCTCCCAAAATTCTAAAAATTTTGCCATCTGTAACTTCTGCTAACTAGAATCTCACCTAAATTCTAAAAATTTGGTTGTATTTAAATTTTGTTGCATGCTGCTTTTCTAAATACTAAAAATGTTGCTTCCCAATGAGGCGGCACCGGTTGCGCCGGCTCTGGTGCGACCCTTAATGGCATTTGACCCAAAATGTCATTTAAGCTATAAATTTCAGCATTGATTTGCTCTTCGTGGTGTTAATGATGCTACATTTATTCACCTTTTATATAATTTTGAAAAAATAAGTAAAGATACAGATACACTAAATAAAAATTTTCATCAAAGTGGGAATTTATTGATTTTTGCTCGCAAAAGAAAAGATAAAAATATTCCACTCCTCCATTCATGATTCCTCCTCCCCCCGCCCACATCTTAGCATGAGTTGTTGAAAATAATAATATTTCAGGTGCTGATAAATTTTATGTGCAGCATACTTGAATTATGATTAAATAGTGAATTTTCATACTTAATTTATATTTTCTTAACTAGAGAATTTCGATAAATCTATGTACATCCATAATTTGGAAACAAAAATGTAGATAACTGAAGAGAAAATTTTGAAAGAAGAATTTGTTATTTCAGATGGAAATCTAGGTATTTAGGAAACATTTTCAAATTATCTGACTCAAAAATCAATGGAATTAATAAAGTTAGTAGATTCATATTAAAATGCTTCGGATACTTTAATTAAAAATTTGGTGTAAGAAGTAAATGTCTGGGAAATTATTGCTTTAAAAATGCTTTTACTGGCCGTTGCCATATAATTTTGTCAAAAACCATTTCCAAGTTTCATTTCACTTCATTTTATGTTCGTGCTGCGTTAACAAGCAATACAATGTTATTAGCTCCTCGGTCTAAAATAATCGTTTATGTAAAGCGTTTGGTTACCTTATGATGGATATTTAAATAGTCATCATTGAGTACATAAGAAAACATGAATTATTTTTGTTATTGAACTATCACAAAATTGTAAAACTACATATCTATATTTATATTCGTTTCATAGTTGACAAAACAAATAGAAAAGCAATTTAATACAAGTGAATATTAAGCACGTGTATGATTTAAATTGAATGCATTTTAAACATTCTTCGAACTGTAACTGTTTTTGCGCTGTTATATATTTGAGTTCTGAGGTTTGAGGTGATTAGATGTATATTTATATTTTGTGTATAAAAGATATGTAATAATTTGCAGCGTTCCTAAATATTTTATGGGTAAGATTTTCAAAGATTTATTTTATTGAATGAAATGATCATTTTAAGGCTATACATATTTGGATAGAAATTGTCCTCTCTCTGCCTTCCACTTTCTCCCCTCAAACGATAGAAATGAAGTTTCAAATTTAATGTGACATGAAATAAAAATTTAGTTCTAAAATGTACGAATAATCATATACAACTACTTTTTATTTAAATATCTTAATAGTATAAATGATTATGATTGATTATTTTGATGAAGAATTTTATTATTGTATTTTGATGAATACGATTTAGCAGTGTTAAGATGTTTAAATGTAATAAGAGAGCACTACGAAAATGCAGTACTTACGAAAATGGCAGGTTACAAGGAAGGTCTTCCAATCCTGAACGCTCAAAATTTCTTTAAAAAAAAAATCGGAAAGCTTTCAGATTTTATATTACTCCCAAAGGGGCCTTTTTTTTTTTTTTTTTTTTTTTTTTTTTTTCCCTTCCCATTCACACACAGATACACGTTTCCAAAGCCATTTCTAGAGCCTTTGGACTAAAAATATTTAAAAAAATGTTTTATTCTTTACAGTGTCGCCACTGCTGTCTTTGAAATCGTTGAGTTTTTTTAATCAAATATTCGTTAAAATTTTACAAAATGTGAAATAGATAATAAAACAAATTTCCACGAAAAGCGTTATTAGTTACTAGTATTTGGAGAAATATTGCCGAATAAACGCATTTTTAAAGACAACTGGAATTTCGATCCGTTTCAATTAGAAGCTAAATTTTAAAATTTTCGAAATCAGATAATTTCCATACTGTACCAGAATAAATATGATTCATTATGTAACGAATAGAGAATGCAATGCACTATGAATTTGTTGTTGAGATTTTATCTCTTTTATAATAGTTTTATAAAATTATTTTTCTTGATTTATTAATGATTATTTTCGAATCTTAAGTTTCCGAAAGTTAGTTATATTTCAGACTAACCGAGCTACATTAAGACGACTTTTTGTTGATGATCCTGATCCACAATTCATTATGAATTATATTGAATGAAATGTTCATTGAATTAAATATAGATTGTTTTCCCGTTATGCATCTGGCCACGCTTTTTGGCCCTTTGGAAAAGCAACCAAACACATGCCGACAACACATGCCATTCGGGGACAATGGTTGTATGCGCGTGTGTGTGTTAGAATTATTAAACACACACACGCACATATATTATTACAACAACATCGTCAAAATACGTGGTGGTACTATTCGGTTTCGAGGGCCGTAAAAAATTGCCAAACTATTGTTGATGCCAATGCTGCCAAAAATAATTGCGACAACCCTAATAATTGCAGCCAAGAAAGGAAGTATAATAGTAAATAACTATCTAAGATTGATGTTTTAATTTAGATGAAAGGTTAATTTCATATAATACTTTTTTATTATTGTAATTTATATGGAAAAGGCTAAACATGACTGAATGGAAGCATAAGAGTAAATAACTATTTCAGATCATTATTATAATTTATACAAAAATTGCTAAACATAACTGAATGGATGCCTGCATCGCTATTTCGCTACAGAGTTATCGCTTTTAAAGCATAATTTCATCTCGTTGGTAGTTCAAACTGTAATTTTCTATAATGAATGATGCCTTTTCTTTGAAAAAAATTCTCGGAAAAGTGCAGAATCGTTCATTTATTTGTTTGCCGCTTTTTACAAGGGCAAAAACAATTGGAATTTTGTCAATTTTCTTTTACTACTTAAGTGAAAATAGGTCGATGTGTGTATAGATAAAGTAAAGATGTGAGCAGTGCCATTTTTGCGCAATTCTGGGATTTTTTTTAAAGTGAAAATAAGTCAATGTGTAAATGGATACTGAGTATGTGCAATTCTTAAAACCGCGTCAAGCAGTGAGTGATTCTGCACTTTACCCAAAATTCTATTGAAGACTTTCCATCATGGCAATTTCCAAATTGTTAAATCCATAGGATATCAAAAAAGGATTTAAAAATTAAATTAGTATTTCAATGGCGTCTTAAGAAATATAGAACTATATAAACTTACGCAATCTGAAACCAGCGCGTACGCTACATTTGGCGCACTGTTAAATGGGCGCGTTTGCTAAAATTGGCGCTTTTGTGCATACATTTTCGCTGCAATTTTTTTACGGCCCTCAAAACAGAAGAGTACCTACGTGGCAAGTGCATAACGGAAAATACCCTTTATACAGGTCACACATTACTATAAGGGATATTATGATACCAAAAATTATTTTTTACAATTTACTAAACCATGTAATTTAGAAAGTTTTGCGTGTATTTCATTTTATACTTTTTAAGTTACGGAATATGTAAAAATAATTTTAGGGTACCGAATGTGTAAAAAAAAGTGACCGCCTTTGAAAGTAGAAAAATAATTTTTTTCAATCTCGCGTAAGATTACATTTAAAGTTCCGTTTGATTTACAAATCCGATCCCATCATCTAAAAATCACTGGTTTGCTAACCATGAAAGATTAAATCTTTTAATTTAAAAATTCATCATTGTTAAGAACAGTAAGCTAACTATACAAATAATCATATCACTTAAAAAAATTTTTTTTTAAGCTGGAAATTTCGCAAACTGTATTAGAAATTCCGAAAAAAGTTCATTTGAAAATTCTTATTCGTCCTACAAAATGATATAAAAATTTAAATTGTAAAGTGATTAATTTGACCATTAAACAAGGATTTGAAAATAATAATAATAAGCGTTAAATTTAATACTGCTCAAATTTTCAAAGTTATTGTCATGAAACATTTTTAAAAAGTATTGTTCTGTTTTTATCTTTAACTTTTTTTTTTTTTCTGAAATAACTAGTTTAGGTAATTCTACACGAAAAGTCTTGTTGGCAAAGAAAGGATCCAAAGATTTTCTATTTAAAAATTTTAGCGTTTACCTATAATAATCAATTTTAAATGTTTATTCCCCCTTTTATTAGTAGAATTGTAGGGTTTATATTTATTTTAACTAACATTTATTTTAAGTTTAAACTATCTTTCCTGTCAAGCCTTACTTTCCCCTGGAATTGCCAATGCCAGAGTATGTAAATTTTAGTAGAACGCGCAAAGGATTCAAATTTTCAGCGGAAGTAATTCTGAGTTAAATAGAAGGGAAACGAGTTCGAAGGTGTGCTTTCTTGCTTCACGAGCGTGGAGGTGGCTAGGTAGAAATTGAAGAACCGCGCGTTTCGGCCTGTGTGCTTGCCTCGGCAGTTAGTTGAATCTTTCAACGTAATATTCAGAAAGTTTGCTGAATTATCAGCGGTATGTATCTTAGAACGCGGTTGAGGTTAGTTACGTTTAGAGAGCCTCGTAGGTAGTCACTTGTTATTATTTTTTTCTTTTTTTTAGTTTATTTCTTATTTTATTTACCGCCGGGTCGGCGTAGTTTGTGAGCGTCAAGAGCACGCATCTGTAATTTCTAAAGTTGAATAAAAAGGGATTTAAACCCTTCTCAAGACTTTGTGTACTTTCCAGTTCATAGCAGTCACCACTATTGTTGCGTGCAGGTTGGAAGCGCGCAACATTACATTGGCGCCCGAACACTTGTCGAACTGAAATGGCCGAAAATTGGATGGAAGCTGCTGGACAACAACAAGAAATGGCAAGCCAATTGGAAGGATTTGGATACCTGGTCCAGACGATGAGAGCGTCAATCAAGCCAAACGTCAATTTCGACGGAAAAAATTCGGTGGCGATATTTCTAGAAGGCCTCGAAAATCACTTTCCAGCTCTACCCTGTGCCTGAAAGACAAAAAGTTGCCATCGCCACATCTGCACTAAGAGGACAGGCCGCGCTATGGTGGAAGAATATAGGCAAATTTTTATTAGGGGAATTCGGAGGCCAGACATATACATTTGAAAATTTCAAAAAATCGTTATTAAAGGCCTTCCCCATAGTGAAAGATCGAGCAAGGCTAGAAGCCGAACTATATAGTTTTTATCAACGGAATATAGAAGAGTTGACGGACTTTATTCTGCGAAAAATTAAGCTGACGGATATGCTGTATGGGAAGAAACCCGACGCGGAGATTATTGAAATAATCTTACCAAGATTGCTACCTGCTGTTCAAGATTACTTCGAAATTAGAAACCCAAGCACATTGCAGGAACTCTTCGAATTGGCGGTCAAGTTTCCAAAATCGCAGAATAGCGGAAAAAGCTAGAGGGGCATCGTATTCTCAAAGTCTCCGAAGGCAATCTTCAAATGAGCAGACCAGAAATGCAAATCGCTCTTATGGGGGAAAGAGCTATCAAGCTAACTCATCGAAGCTCGAAGGTCAAGGCCCAAAAAGGAAATTTGAAAACAACCGTCCGCGTACCCAGAAGGCAGAAGTTGAAAGGAAAGCTTTAAACGAGTAGAGGGGCCTGTAAAAGCGAGGGTCCAGACCCCGGAAGTTTTCGAAAAAACCCTCAAGAAGATACTTAAATACGGTCATCGTAAAGAACTCACAATTACCAATTATACAAGTCCTGGTTGGCGATGTACCAGTAGAAGCCCTCATCGATACAGGAGCAGAAGGTAATTTTATGAGTGATACTTTTTTAAGAAGAATTTTTAATAGGTTACGATTATTTAAAAATAAAAAACACAGAAATCATAGCAGCGCAAGGACAAACTTGTCAATGTATTGGAAAATTATCATTACAAATACAGGTTTAAAAATGAAAGCCTTAAAGTATTAATTTTTTTGGTAAAAAATTTGAAAAGTCCACTTATTTTAGGTATGGAGTTTTTAAAAGCCGCGAAGGCCAAAGAAAGAACAGTAAATTTACGTGGACAGCAGAAGCAAATACGACATTTGAAAGGTTAAAAGAAGCACTCATCAATGCCCCTGTTTTAAAATTCCCGGAAGGGGACGAAACCTGGAAATTGCGGCAGATGCGTCGGACTATGCTGTAGGTGCTGTTCTCATGCAAAATGGCCATCCTTTGGCATTTTTTAGTAAAACTTTGAACCCTACGCAAAGGAATTATACAGCTA